AATCCCTTAACAGACTGTTTCGTCCACAAATAGTACTTTTTCCAAGTCTCCAATATATTTTAATTAAATTGTCCATTTATATTTATTAAGGCAGTTTACTGTCTTCTATTGCAAAAAGCTGCTACTGCTGATAGTCTGTCAGGAGAAACACTAGCTTATCTGGGAGTTGGTAATAAAAGGCAAGCATATGCTATCCAAAAAAGTCTTCCCAAAATATAGTTTAAGCATCATTTCCTTCTTTGTCGGGAAGACAACAGGCTTTGTCTTTAGCTTCCAGATGTTTTTGGAATAGTTAGTCTTAACAGTCTCATAGCCCTGGGTAATTGCACTGTTTAATTGGTAGGAAATGCTATGTGCAAATATATATATGTGTGTGTGTGTGTACTTTAAATGGTCCTATTGAAGCTGTAGGAAAGAAAGGCCCTTTGGCAGGGTGGGTGGTGAAGTCATCACATAGTGGTTAGATGTAAAGTGGCGTTGGGCAGCCCCAGTTCAGACTGATAAGCATGATAAGGTGGACTCATTCCTATCGCTGGAGATCCAAGGCCTTGGACCTCAACTCTGCGTCTTGGACGTCTCTCAGCCCTACTGCCTTATCTCTGAGGAGCTCGTGCCAAAATAGATTTGCCGTTAAGCCAGGAAAACTTTATATGGGAAGGCTGTGTTTGGTCTGGCCTTTCTCTCGGCACACATGAAAGCAGAGCTCCCAGAGCTTTTCAAAGAAGGAAGCTGTTCCCTCAAGCGATTGTCTGCCTGAGAAGACACGGTGGTCCCGGCCCTGCAGCCCAGTGTCGTGGCCAGTCCTGGTCCCAGTCCCGGTCCTACTGGTGACGGGAGGAGGCTGGTGGGTCAATAGGCCTGTGTGAGCTGCCAGAAGAGGCATCCCAGGGAGGAGCATTTTAATTATGTCTCTCCCCCTCAGGAACTGCTGCTTTCTGCGGTTCCATCAGAGCATCCCAGAAATAGATCGCTGATATATATATATATACATATTTGATATTTTTCCCCCCCGCTGTGTGCGTCTGCAAGACCCATCTTTGTGAAAAGCAGCCGTAACCCGTGGGGAAGGCAGGAGGGTTCAAATCCAACCACGGCGGCTTTAAGCGGGGAAGGCAAAAACTGGTGAGGGAGGAAAATAAAAATCCCACAGCCTGTTGTAGCAGCTGTAGCTTCAGATCGTGTGGAAAATGAAGGCAGATGATTCAATTTGGCCTGTGCCCCGAGTACATTTCCAAACGCTTCTGTGTGTGCGCAAGATAATGAACAAATATATTGAGATGGCACCGGATCAGTGTGAGGCGGCCACCGAGCAGGCCACCGTGCTCCCTGTAGGAGCAAACTCGCTCCGCTGGGTTAATGGGGGTGAGGGTCGGCCAGCCCGGCACCTTTCACAACAACTTAGGAAAAGGATTTGTCTCCTTTGGCCCCGGGCTCCCCGCGGCGCGCAGGCGGAGCGCTGGATAAATCAAGGCGCGGTTGTTAGTAACAAGCCGGGGCCGCACGCCCAACGTGAGGCAACGGGCGCCGAGGGCAGCGCGCGCCCCTCTCACGGCACAAGCGCCGCCATGAGGGGCAAGGGGGCCCTTCCTCTGCGATCAGGAAGCGGTGATAAAAAATAAATTAATAGTAAAGGCCTTTAGGTACTGTAAAAGCCCATCCTGCCCCGTAAGGAGGGGTAAATCCCACCCTGGCCTGTGAGGAGAGCTGGGGAGGAGAGTGATGGCAGGTTGGGAAGGCAGAGGGTGGGCTCGGACGCGTGTGGGAGGCGCGACCAGGGGGACATTGGGGCTTAATAGGTGTGTGGCGCCCAGCAGGGCCCCAGTGCGGGCTGTGAGCACGACCGGGGCATGCGCCTTGCTTCCTCAAAGAGACGTTCTGCTTCTGAGATGGCTCCTAAAGAAGCTCTGAGCAGACCCACAGGGTTTGCTCATGGATAGATCCAAATCTGGCTGCTTCCTTACTGCTTCCTTAGTTTTTCTGTTAGCTCTGTGGCATTCACTGGAAAACACTGTCCAACAGGGCCTGAAGAAGGATGTTTGCTCTCATGAAAATGGAAAATAACAATAAACCACCTAAATACCTCCGACCAGGCAAAGGCAACGAACTGGAGAGGAGATTTTTTTCCTATGTGCTTCTTGCTAGCAATTTGAAGGTGTTTTTGGAATAACAGTAGGGCAGCTGTATCCAGGTGGGAATGCAGCTTTCCTCCCTCCTTTTTCGCTCTGTATTTAGATCGATCACTTGACTCCCGTACTGGAAATACTGTCTAGTGGTAGCTGATGTTAAGCATCATCAGCATAAGCCACTGGCAACACGCTGATGAGGGCACCTCATGGTGTGTGCATGGTTGTCGATGGAGCCGCTCGCTGGGTTCCTGTGCTGCTGGGGCTCCCTGCCGTGCCAGGAGCTGAGCAAGTAACAGACCTCCCAGGGCACGGGTAGTGCTAGCCTTTATGGTGAAACGTGGTCAGGAAATATGGTTAGGAGGAATTTCTGCAGGTCGAGCAAAAACACCCAGAGAAAATCACTCAAAATCACACAGGGAAGCCACAAGCAACTTGACGAAACAAGCTTTTGACTGGTTTGCTAATACCCCTGGCTGCAGAGAGTGCCCATGAAACCAATGCATCCATTTAGCAAAACAACTTGTCCTCCTAGTTGGGTCCTGCCTGTGGCTCATTAGGGTAATTACTGATGAATTAAGGCAGCTTGGCTCAGCGCTCTGGCTGCGGGTGTGCGGGCTCCCCTGCTGGCAGGCAGCAGGTGTAAATGAACAAGATCTGTCAAAAAGGCTGATGACCCTCTTAATTCACAGCAGCAAACTGGGGACAGAGGTAGTGCAGCAAGTTTAATAATTGATATTTACTTGGAAAGGTTAATGGCAGCAGCGATGCTTCTAATTTGCTTGCCCGTGCAAGACCTTGTCAGGTCAAATTGTCTCAATTTGTTACCGGGTGTGTAGGTGTAGTTTCCCTTTAATGAAATTTGGAGAAAAGAAACAGGTGGTGTTGGGAGTACACTGTAACTCAAGGAAAAGAGCAAAAGGTTGGGAGCTGCTAACAGGCTCTAGTTAACTCTGCTAACTTTAAACAGCTGACAGTTCGGTCCATGTGAATAGTTCTGGTGAACGTTTAAGTTTGGGAAAGTTAAAGGATTTGAAATGAATATTTCCTTTAATTTTCTTTTATCTGAGACTTGTTTAGGTGAAAAGCATTAGGTTTTGACAAGCTTTGGTCTGGTGCTGGGTGGAAGAAATAGAGTTATGGATTGGAAATCTAAGGCAAATATAAGAGCAAATCCAACATGTATTTATTTGCTGTGTTTGGGAAATTGTAATTCTGTCCTATAATGATAAAATCATTCCATCTTCAGCGAAAACCAAAGATCATGTTAACATTAGCTACTATATGCAGACATTTTCAGGTTAGCAGATTTGAAATACTTTTCATCCAGGAGTTTCCAATGAACTTCCTAATGACTCTGCAACAGCAAAGTTAGTTTTCAAGTGATCGTAGGAAGATCCTGATGACTGAAGGGGGCTGGTGCCTCTTTTCAAAATGACTTATTGACATGTGGTTTTAAAAGCTTAGTAGTGGTCATGACATCAATGTAGTGCAGATTTCTGTGCTTGATGTTGTTGACCTCCTTATTAAGGAAACGGAACAGTGCAGATTCAGCAAGATGCATTGCAAGTGGATTAAAACCTGCCCTAATAATAGGTGCTGCTGTCACAAATGCAGCCTCACCACGGGTTGGAAGCGCTTTGAGTGGATCCCAGCAGGGATTCCCTCTTGTCGTTATGTTATTGTAACCTTTTGCTGTGGGAGCAAGGATGAAAAATCACTCTTGATAAAAGTTTGCAGGTAGCCAGTGTATTGGACAAGTGGTGTACGATGTATGATGAGTGAGACCCTATGCAGAGAACAACAGTCCTTATGTGAAAAGATGGCCACAAGCAAGTGTATATTTTTAACATTTCAATGTGACCGAGTCTAAAAGTCTTTTCTTTAGGAAAAAAAATACACTGATGATGTGTAAGACAGCAGAAAGACACATAGAGTAAGGACTTTATGGATAAATATATTAATGCTTGAACACGAGCATAATATTTCCTCCATTTTTTAATATATGTGGCTATACAAGGCTGTATGTGCTGGACTAGACTGGGCTCCCTGGAAGCAGCAGAGCTCTCTGAACACACTGGGGTTGTGCTCGAGCACCACAAGCAAATCCTTGTGGAGGCTCTGCCTTGGACTAGGACAGAATGAAACAAGGGGATTTTATTGCCATTAAAAGTACCCATTTGTACAAGCCGACATTTTCAATAGTATAATTTAAATGGAACCAAGCTGTTATGAATAGAACCTATTAATAAATTAAACACTTCTTTCTACCCAATATTTCACAAGAGAATTAACAGAATAATTTGTTAGTAAATGAGCCCAGGAGTGAAGCTCTGAATGATACAGCTGTCACGTTCTCCTCTTCCTGCAGCTCTTGGCATGTGTGAGCTCAAGATAGTTGTGATTTCCAACAGTGTCTCTTGGACTTAGTGTCATGCAGAGGAATAAGCATGATTTGATGGTTAGAGAACCAGCCTTGGCTGTTTGGTGCATCACCTGAAGAGCAGCTTTTAGGCCTACCTGCCCCACCACGTGTTGGCCGTTGGACAGCTCTTGGGGCGGCCACCGAGGTGCTTCTCCTAACACCATCTCGGTAGCACCTGGGGGAAGGGGGTTTTCCTTGTCACATCAAGCCAAGGGCCTCGGGCACAGCCTTTCCTGCCCCAGGCATGCCAAAGCTGCCGCTGCTTGTGTGTTAAGGACAGGGAGTACGGAGATGTGTGCTCGAGCACGTCCTCAGCACGCTCGCAAGCATCCTCTCCCCGGCGCCGTGCACACAGGAGAGAAACACTCAATAAACTGCCGTCAGTGACCTCGGGAACAGGTGGCAGAGCAGTGCTTGAAAACCCACTTTTTCCCCGCTTCTTCTCCCTCTAGATGAAGGTCCCTACAAGCAGAAGTGGCAGAAATAGCGAGGAGGACAGCATCAGGGAGGCCACGAGCTCGCAGCGGAGCAGCTCCAGGGACCGGCTCAGTGATGTAAGTACCACTCAGGAGAAAGCATCGCCTCGGCGCAGCAATTCCCGCTGCTGACACGGCTTTTCATAAATCTTGCTGAACAAATGTTGGCATCCAGAGGTCACTGTGTAATAACTTTTTTTTTTTTATGTCATGATTGAGTGTTATGGCATAAGTGGTTGAGCTGCCTTGCAAACACTATAATCATGGTGCAAATAATATGATAAGCAAAAGATCAGAGATGGGAAAGCAAGATGGAATTGTTATTCCTCAGGGAGAAATGGCTTGATGTTTTGGGTTCTTTTATTTTTTTTTCCCCCGCTTTGGATAGAAGTTGTGTTAAAAAGCTTTTTACGGTGTTTTTGGTTTTAGCTACTGCACATAATTACATACTTTGGGTGCAAAGTCAGTTCATCTAATTTTATGCTTCCTGCCTCCAAGATAGGAAAGGCTTTTGAGGGGAGAGCTGTCTTTCTCTCAGGAAACACGATAGTATGTTGAGTGAAATGTTATGATAAAACAAAAGCAACCGGTACCTTAGTGTGTAAACACACAAATGGGCTTTTGAGTCACCAAGAAATCAATGGCAGTGCTGGGATAATTTTATATGAAGGCTTTTTGTGTTAGCAATTAGCATTTTGCCTTCATTAAAACATGATTTTTTACTAATTAGGACCTTTCCCGTTAGGAGAGATTTAAATGAAGAACAATAATCAAACGCTGGCACGAGCATGTCTGAAATATTAAATTTGCCATTTCAATGGCAAGCCACTGAAATCCCAGAGCGAGTGGTTTTCATGTTGAGTTCTATTAATGTAAAATATGCTTCATAACTAAAACCTGTCACAGAAAACGGCTCACACCAGCTAAATTCAATTGGACAGTTAATTTAGCTTTAAAATTGAAAACACTACCTCCGCTTCAGGATGCAAAGGGAAGAGGGGGGAAAGCCTTTGATAAGTGTAATGTATTTGCTATTAAGGCTTTCAGAGCCCATTCTACAGGAGGAGAAGGGAGAAAAGGGGGGAAAAATGGCTCCCACAAATGTGTTTAAAAGCTGAAAGTATTTATTAAAAATGTCAGCAGAAAAGTGCTTTTGGCAGATTAAAGCGGGATTCAGCTTGACAGCTCTGACAGGGAAATGTGACGGGGGAAAATTCTCTCTACATGTTTTGAGTGCGAATGGGGCGCTGTAAACAGCCTGCACAGTGGGAGGAAGAGAAAAATAACATGTCCTGCGATGCACACGCAGGCTTGCGGCTCCGCGCGGCCGCGGCGGGTGGCAGCGGGGCCCTTTGGGACAAATGGCCTTTCGGCGCGGGCGCCGCGGCTGTGCCGTTAGCCAGGAGCGCTCTCGGGTGTTTACGTGCGGAGTTGGTGCAGTTACGAGGCTCTCTCCTTTGCCGCCGCTCGCGACGGGTATGTGCCAGGTCCGTGCGGTGCGGCCCTCGCTGCGCCGTGACGTGGGGCCGCGGGAGGAGCAGCGCGCTCAGGCTGGACAATTCGCTGAGGTCAAAGCACTGAGTGGTCTCGGTGACTCTTCCCATTAAGCCAAAGCACCTAAAGCTTTTCCTCTTCCTTTCCTCTTGCCCAAAGTCTCAGGCTGAGCCTGTAAGAACTGAATCATGGTGCCTAATACCCTCAGCATCTTCTAGGCGAGTAGTTCAGTGGGAAGCAGGTACAGGGACGTGGAGGCAGTGCCTGAAGGCCGAGGCACTCAGCGGAGCTCCGCTGACCCGGCGACCTGTTGCAAATGAGAATTTTTCAAATTAGTAATTAAACAGTTTGCAAAGGAAGGCTCATGAATCATGGAACGCACTTTGTTCGTTATTTGACGAGTGCAATTTAGCTCTAATTACGTATTAACGCTTCTGCACGTACTAGTAAATGTTCTGTAGTCTATTTAGTCGCTGTCAGAAAGACTTAGAAAGTCCCCCTGGTGCAGTGAGCTGCTTTCCCACTTTGTGTGCAAAGAAATGAGGCTCAGACGTTTTGTAGCTGGGGAGCAGGAGGGAGAGCCCGTCGGCAGGCTCTGGCGTGCCGAGTCGTGCAGGGTGTTAGTGCCCTGCGGCTCGTCCTCGTGTTGCCCCACGGCTCTCGTCCTCACAGGGAGTCCTAAGAGATGGTGAGCGACAGACCTGGCTCGCCCCTCGCGCCTTGAGGGTTTAAACGCCCATTGGGTTTTGAAAGGGAAAGCAGGGACAGCTTTTCCTCCTAGCTAGCGAGTACGGGCTGGGGTCCAACCATGCAGGGGATCTGGGGCATCCACTTTTCCTTGTGAACCCCTGGGCTTCCTCTGGGGGCAGCTGCTTAATGCTCTCCCCCAGATCTCTCCTGCCCCTCTTGGTGCATTTGGCCTTTCAGGCCACCTTCCCCTCCCATCGCTGTTCCACACCCTGGAGTTACCATGAGTAAACGGGGCGGGTGGAGGTGGACGCGGCCGCTCTGCGGGACGCGGCGGGTGCGCGGGCAGCGCGTGCACAGTGGCGTTGCCTGCAGCGTCCAGCACCGCTCCCATCAGGGCCACGGGGCGATCTGCTGCTTGAGGGGACTTCTTCAGTGCCACGTACGCCAGAAAGTTGTTCTTTATTTACATGAATGCATGGCGTTAGTCTCTAATGGAGCATGAAGGCAAGAAGTGGCCTGCTCTGTCGTGAAATAATTGCACTCTAAAGAAAACTGAAACAGATGATTGACTGTGTCTTGCACATGAGCGTGCACGTAGCCGCCAGCCATCGGCCACAGAACACGGCACGTTTTGCTTCGGTCTTTGACATCGTGGAGAAGGAGCGTCACAGGGTCCAGCAGCCATCTGTATTGGATAGTTTGTCTCTCCAGACATTACACCGAGGGCCATTTATTATGGGTCATTGGGAAAAAAACTCTTATTACGATCCAATGAAATCATCTCTGGCTGGAGGGGTTTGATTTGTTGAGGCTGGTCTGTCCTTCAGCTGATGGTCTTAAGCGGAAAACTAAAGAAATTTTAACCCAGGTTTGCACAAGGGACTGTGCGGTGAGGGCGAGGGGGAATTTGCCACTTGTCAGTGTTGGGCGTTGATGTAAAATTCCCTTAAAATCCATTATAAAGCTAAAGTCCATATTACACATGTGCTGTCAGGGTCCTCTGCAAGCAAGACAGAGTCAACAGCCTTTTTCCAAAACAGGATTTTCCTCTGCTGTCTTTCATGGTGAGGTAATTGGAAGTTGCCAGAGAATTAAGAGGCAGATAAACCGTTTTACTGTTTTGTTGTGTTGACCCAAGTAAAAGTGGAAGATTTGGGCATTTTGTTTTGTTTTTTGCCCATGTTCCATAATTGTCCTAATCTTTTCTGATGTCCTGAACAGTCCAAAAAATCCACCCAGAGCCTTGTATAATGGCTTTAAAAAAAAGGGTTTTATCTTTTTCTTGACCCATCAGCTTAAGAACTGCCTGCTTTTTAATGGATTTTCTCCCTCACTAAATTGAATGGATCGTCCCTCATTATCATTTAAATAGAACCCTCACTCCCTGTGAACATGGAAAATTTGAATGTGGTAGGAGAGCTGTGATAATTTGAAATATTCGGAAGGTGGGGGCAAGGAGCGGGGAGCAGGCGGCAAAGTGCAGAAATGCTGAATGTAATTGTCATGGATTCTCAATTTTGTTGCCACAAGATGGGAAAATAGACTAATAATTGTCTTCCAACCCTAGTAGAATAGTTGCCCTAGTTAGCTGAAGCTAACACTCTAATTGTCATGGGGGCACAGAGATGAATGAGGATGTATGCAGGGCACAGCCAGGGCTAAATTGAGTGATATACTAAGGCAAAGAGCAAATTGGCAATTATTGGCCCAGCTGAAAAGGTTGGCAGGTGTGCTGCTTTCTCACGAGCCCTTAGGGGGAAATTGGAAATATAAAATATCGACCATAAATACTCACTGATTAGGAAATATGTTGCAAGAGGTGCTGGCCACTTAAGAGTCAAAACTCTCCTTTTGAAGGAATTGACTTCAGCTGTGTAAAAACCAGCGAGCGCTGCCGCTAACTTGTTCAGCCCTTCTTCCTCTCATCTCCCATCCCTCAGGCTATCTTTTCTAATTCTATTCCTGTTTGTTTTTCTTTAAACATAATAAACAGAAAGCAGCCTTTTAGGAAACGCAGAGATTTTCCCATCTCTAAATGTTCTTGGATAAGTGTTTAGCATATTGTATAGTCTAGATATAAAACTCTCTCGCTGGTAGATGAATGCAAAACAACTCCTGTGATTTCTAATTCAACCGTTCGCTGTGAGCCGCTCCCCTTTGTTGCCATCGTGGTCACCATCTCCTCCTTCCCTCCTCTCTCCCATCCCGTGCTCTCCCTCCTGGCACAAGGGCACTCGAGCAGCAGCAGGACACGAGGCTGCGGGTACTTGACGTGCGCCCAAGGCTGCAGCCCCTTTCCAGGAGCGTGATCAAATGAGCCTTTGAAGTGAGGACAGGACCACAGTCACGGCCACCGCTCCTTATTTATCCACTCCACAATCTTTGGCACGTGTGGGATGCCTGGGCTCTGCTCTGGGTCGGGCGGCAGTGGAAGAGAACAGCCTGGCACGTGTGTGTGAGGAAGACCTCGGTGCGGTAGCAAGCGCTGTTAGTGGTGGTGCGTGGAGGAGCTTTTGGAAGGCTTGCGATAGCTCGGAGCGGGCTGCGAGCGCTCAGAGCCCCTCTTGCCCTTTGTTTGCCAAGAGCAGTGCACTCAAATCTGCTCTCGGTGCTTCTGTGCTAGCAGCAGTGTCTGCAGGTGGCCCGGAGAGCTGCGATGGGCTCCAAGAGCCTGGGGAGAGGGACAGAGCCGTGGGGAGCAGAGGGCTGAGCGCGGCTTGAGTGGGCTCCGTCAGCAAGGCCGGGCGGATGGTGCAAGGGCTTTACCCATTTAGCGAGTATGTAGCGGAGCTCTGTTTTTGGAAAACTTCATGGCAGTTGCACTATCTCTGCAACCACCTCCACTAATGTGTTTTTGTCCCTCTGAGCACGTCAGGGAAAAGCGCAGAATGTGGCAGTGCGTGTGCGTGCAAAGGTCCCTGCTAATGAACGTGTAGATGGAGGTTTAGGGATTGCAACACTCAACCCAGTCACTGGGTGTGAACACAAGGAGTCAAGAGAGTTGAAGAAGAGCAATCTCCAACTTAGTGTAGTAAAGGCAGCAACAGGAGAGTTTTAAGACTCCCTGTCAAGCCTTGAGTTTTGGGGAATAGGTTTAAAAAGCAGCACATGCATAAGGTCTGTGAAACCTTGCACGTCCCATTGATTTGCGCAGTGTGCTTTGTACAGCTTTCTTTTGGTCCCTCAAAATGCCAAACACTTGCATAAAAATCACTGCTACAGAAAAATCATGAGAAAAGCTGCAATGATTTGCATGAAGCTCTGGGTAGTGGAGTGTGGCTCACGAGGAGAGTCTGGAGGAGGCTTTGGGAAGCTGGTGCAAAGAACAAAAGTGTGAATGGGAGCGGCACTTGTGCACGTGCTGCACATTTCACAAATGGGGAGTTTTTTCACATTGGTTAGCTGGCTTACTGTATGTGAAAGATGGTTTGCTGCCTGCAGGCAAGTTTTGTAAAAGGTTTTCTTGGAAAAGGAAATAGTAGATTTTTCTAGTAATCAAAACTAATCTTGTATTCTCTTGTTGATTATTCAACATGAATAGATGACCAGATAGACTGATAAATATACTTGCTTCCTTCTGTCTCAATCCAGTCTGAGTACAAAATGGGAGTGATTGATACATACTGGAAACAGATGGAGCTGAGGTGAGCTCTCTTCCTGAAGAATGCAAAAAAAGTACAATTAAAGAGTAGTTCTCTGCACATCATTGATTAATTGCACTGAGTGCCAACCATGCCACCTCAGGCTTGCTCTTTTGGGCCATAGGGTAAGATTAGCCCTGGGATCCAGCAAGGAAGAAGAACTGAGAGTTGCGAAATAGATTTCAGTTCTGCCTGTGGTCTCCTGGGGTGACCCTGGGCATGTCTAAGTCTTTGTCTGCCTCTGTTTCTGAGCGGACGGTGCCTTGGTTTGTTTCGCTCCGTGAGAATGCCATGGAAGGCCCTGCTTTTATTTATACAAGGGAAATAACTCTTCCCGTCAGTTTAACAGATGATCTTGGAAAACCTGCTGAAAGTTATTGGCAAGATTTTTGTCGTGATTTTCTTTCCTCAATTGCAATCATGGTGTTTATAAAGAATAAAGAATCTTTTATATAAAATTGCTTTGCAGCTTAAGGTCTCAAGGACATTGAGAGGGGGGTAGTAAAGTTCTTCAACAATAAGATCTTGTCTGTGCTGCCAGAAAAGCGTATTTTTTTACATCCAGCATAATTAACACAAGAGCTATCCCAGGATAGAAATAATTCACTCTGTGACATAACCGAAATGGCTTGTCTGTGCTGTCTGGTTTTGTTTTTAACCTTGGGCTTAAAAGGAACCAAAAATGCTTAGCTGTAAAAGAGCAAGTCATCTGCAAAATATTATAACCCATTTATCTTTGTGCACAAATGCCATCGGGCAGTTCCCGCTCTGTGTCCGTAGCGGCCCAGACCCCGCCGGTTCGGCCCCCAGCTCGTGGCAGTCGCCCTGCGAAGCTCGGGGACGAGCCCCTGCCTGCGATGCGTCCGCGCAGGCCAAACGCCCCCGCGTTGGTGCCCGGAGCGCAGTCGTGCTCCACGCGAGCTGCGTGGGGTGGCAGGCTGGTGCAGCGGGGTGGGTGCCACGAGGGTGGCCCTGCGCCAGTTGACCGAGACGGGAACGCAGGTAGAGCGTTGGCAGACTGAGACTCCCCCGCTAGCTCTCCGTGTCCGCGCGCTCCTGTCCCGTAGGTAAGAGTCTGCAGAAGTCCTTCCAGCTGGAGCTTTGCCTTCGTAAGTGCTCTTGCTAGACAAGCACTCATTCATAGTCAGAGGAGGTTTCTCCTAGCTTGGGTAGGTGCCAAGTTAAACTTCCACTAAGATTTCTTATATTGCAGCCCCTATTGATTACTTTCCTTATTATTTGATGTTGATATAAAGACATATGGATTGAGCTATGTTTATATCAACCCCAAAAGATTTTCTCCTTAGGAACATCCATCACAGTTGCACACAAACTGTTCTTTGGCGCTCATAGCAGATACTTGCTGCAGCTCTCAGAGTTTCTGTGCTCGGCAGTTTGGTTTGGATTCGCCTAAACAGCCCTCAGTGTTCACAGCTAACACAGAAAGCCATAGAGGCTTGTATTAAACGCACAGAAAAAATGCATAAAAACAGCTATGGAGAGCATAGGGGTGTTGCTCTGCATGAATTTAAGCATTAGGAAGGATTTTAGAGTTGAAATCCAAAGAATTTGCCAGTCGCTAACTACATGCATGCAATGAAAATGTGGAGGGGAAAAAGGTTGTTCCCCTCTGATTTCCTGGAAGTTTAGTGTTAAAATTGTAAGAGAGAGAAAAGTTCTTAGGTGTGAAAAATGCCGGAGTAAATTGCCATTTATTTTTAATCATTTCTGATGTAACACTTTATTCAGCAGTTGTTTTCCTTCTTTTCTTCTCAGTGGTTTTAAGTCAGTGGTCTACAGAAACCCCAGGGTTCCTGGACAGCTTAGGGCCCTGAAAGTTCTCCAGGAAAAGTGGGTCTGTTGTTAACTTGCTTGAGTTTGTTGTATAAGGGTGTGCTCCATCCCTGAAAAATACTTTGGGGGTCCACAAGTCTTAAAAATGGAAAACGCATTAAATTGAAAACTCTGAGGGGTCATTTCTCCCAAGCCTTTTTAAAAAAGACTCCTGTTTTTGCTTTTGGTCATTGTTTCCAGTTTTTTAGACTTTTTGAGTCTTTGTGTTAGAACTAAACTGACAGGGAGAAAGAGGGGGAAATGCTGCCCTTTCTGCCTTCCTCCTCCCACTTCTCAGAGCAGATAATTTACTCTGTCCTCATTTCTCCATATACTTTAGGTGAACTGCCTGATCAAGCTATCAAAAGTGTCAGAACAGATAATTGCATATATAGATAGCAGCTGTTCAGCATACTTGACTAGATAGCAGGATATTGTTAATCTTTTTTCACTACAGTGTGGTGAATTCTGTGCAGTTTGAGGAGTTCGAGCGTTTAAGTGGAGGCAGGGATTTATCTTAATATCTCAAAGAAGAGATAAGCGCTACTGCCCTTCACTTCAGCAGTACGTAACTTAATTTCTAGATGCTTTACATTAAGAAGGTTTATAAATAACTCTGCACCTTTTTGTAGTGTTTGGAGGCAGAGGCCAAATCAGTTGTAATATTGAGGAGGCTGAAGGTTAAGCACGGAGAGCGATTTAATGTGTTATTGCTGCTGCAGGCTTCCCTGGCCAGCTCCCCTTCCCGCTGGGCAGGTTCCTCCCGGGCTCCCACACGCGGCAGCGGCTGCTGGGCCCGCGCTGGGACGCGGCGTCTGCTCCGCGGTGGCTGAGAACCGACGTGTCTCGGCTCTCCTGCCCGTGCCGAGCGGCGGGGCGCCTGGGGAGGCTGCTGGGCCCCCCGAGGCCGCTTGCCCGGTTGTAGGTCATTGCTGTGGTCTCCTCCTTGCTTGGGAAACTCCTCTGTGGGTGCCTGGCCGGCAAATTGCTTCTCTGGCCTCTAGGGTAATTACAAGGCAGTGAAACAGGGTTTCCATGGGATGAGGGACGAGACATGTCTTTCCTTGACTGCAAGAGTTTGGAGGGCTTCTGGGTGTATCTTCTGGTCAGTGGGTTTGAAATTTGGCGATACAGAGGAACTGTTATCTTACTGGGGGGAAATTACAAGTGCTCGCAGCAGCTTGCAATCAGTTTGTATCAGTTCCTTTGGGGGAGCTGGGCTGTCATAGTGATTTAGTAACTTGCTAAATAACTTTTGGCAGACAAAAAAATCCTCAAGATCAGCCTGGAACAGTTTCACATTTTTGTTCAGGCTTTGGTGCCCATTAGAGTACCAGTCTTGGAAACAGAGTAGGTAAGGCTGCCCAAGTCTTGTTCAATAAAACATGTAGTGAGAGCATCATGACTGTAACTGCCGCTTGGAGATTGGCCTGAAGAATACTTGCTGGGTCGTGCGGTGCTGCTCCCTCCTTGTCATATGTTGCCATAGTTTTAGGCTTTTTTTCTCATTTCCAAAATAGCCACTGGAAGCAGTGGCAGAGCTCATTTAGCTGCTCCTGAGAGCCAAACCTGTCAGCTCGGCAGTACTCACTCTTAAAGAAGGGAAGAAGATCCAAGTCACTGGGGATAATACAATGAAAGGGAAAAGAAGCAGATGATTTGGCAGCCTGTGAAGTAGGTGAGGGTGTGTTAGAGAGGAGCAGGAGGCAGCGCGAAAAGGAGCAAAAGTAAACAGTGTAATTTAACTTGCTCAAAAGGGACAGGCTACTTAGTAAAGCTCTGAGAGATGATAAATTAGTGGTTTGCTGCTATTGTTGTTTTGGATAGAGCTGTCATAGAGAAATACTGCAGTGATGAAGGCTGGAGGCTCTTGAGTGTGCAGAGGGGAATGGAAAGGGGGATGTGTGGCTATGTGATTGCAAGTCCAGCCCCGACTGGAGAGCATCGTTATACACGGGAGCTGGGAGCTGCAGTTACGTGCTGAAGAGGGATGGTTTCAAATGCAGATTAAATGCATTCTTGAGTCTCTGTTCCTGTGAAGATGTATCCCACACTGAAAACTTTCACCTTAGTTGGAAGGTGCTGTGGAAGCCCTGCTGTAGTTTATGAAACCCTGTCTGAAACTACCCTGGGGCCATCACCTGGCAATGCTCTCTTGCTGTTACTCCTGTGGCGGCGTGCAGAATGTCAGAAAATAATTAGAGGAGTTCTGGTTGTGAAGTTTTCCCCAGAGGAGTATTGGGCTGGGGGAGGGAATCTCAAAATGATTCTTATCTTACATTACAGAGAATCTCTTGCATTACTTACTGTGGCATATTGTTTCCTCCCACAGAGTTCTGCTCAATCGCTTTCAGGAAGAGGCTACTCCGTAAGTCATTTTACAGCTAATTCTTTCACTTCTGTTGATGTTGATTGCAGAGGTTTACACTACCTATTGCATATCCACTGACATGAAGGAAATGCAGAAAGCAGAAACGGAAAAAAATAGTCTTAGGGGACTGTATTACACCTGGCCAGGGACAACACTGACATGACGGAGCATTAAGCAGTCTGTTTGGGGGGCTTCTTGAATTAAATTTTGTCCATGTAGAGAAGGGGTTTTGGTGGTGTGCTTTGGGAATGGCATTCTGCTAGTGGATAGTCCTCTCCTGAGTGTTAAAGGACACAGGTGGGGAGAGTTCTCAGCAGTGGTGGGAGATGCCTTCTTCCACCTCACCAGTCCCCATACATAGTTTGTGTTCTACATAAAAAGATGAAAGACAAAATTATTGCATTTTAGAAAAAACTATGCCCCTTTACCAGTCCCAACAAAAGTCATTATTTCTTGTTTCCAAACTCTGAGCTATAAGACATTGTTGCAGGAAAAAAATGCTCAATTTCAGATGAGGGTGATGTTGTTGGTCTTGTGTCTTTCTTATAGGAAGTGTTATAGGGCTGTTTTTTCAGGGCTGGAACACATTTGCACGTGTATGCAATGTAACAGTGATGTCTAATTGACGACTTCTATTCACATGTGTCTTACTCATATGTACAATGACATTTTTTCGTGCAGAGGTTGTATAATTACTTGCATATTTGGGTACCTTTGTGCTGCTCAGCTGTCTGAAAAGGCAGGCGTGAAGATGATACTGTGAAGATTAATGTAAGAAATAAGAGAGGGTGTGAGTGGCTTAGTAGTGTCAACGGAAAACCTCCTTGAATCCTATTATATCCAACCCATAACAAATGTACGGTGTGTAGATGCCTGTGACGATACCCTGTCTGTTCAGCCAGTAAGTCAAGTGTTCCCTAATTACCAGTGTAAAGGCTGTAGGTGAACCTGTGTGCTTATCTTGTATGCAGGCTCAATGAGACTGTCTAATCCATTTAACAATTTCTGCCTGTACCTCTTGACAATAATGGCTGTTATTGCAAGCTCCACCGTGATAAAGTTTTGTCTTCTAGATGAATGATCAAAAAACTATTTCTTACTAAAAGCTGTAACTGCTCACCCTTAATAGCAGATTAGAACAAGGGCAGATTATTATATACTACTTAAAGTGGATATAGAGATCCAGTAAGTGTTTTTTCCCACAGTAATTGTAAGAATGATTTTCTTTCAATAATTTATGTTGTATGTTTGGAGCTGTGTGGAACCTACAAGTTCCTAACCAGTGCTGTTTGCCCACGGAGCAGAAATTGTTTGGCAGGTTATAGTTGACCTTTGATTTCATAGTGGCACTGTCGCACGATGCCACCTTATCTGTTGTTACCAGAAATTCATAATGCAGTACTGAGTGCCTTTGAATCATGAAGCCATTACAAAACAATATATTCCTTTAAAAAGCTTAAAAGCTCTATGAAGTGATGCCAGAAAGGTTTAGCCAATAATGACATGCATCTCATAAGCATCCTGCTATCAAAATGTTCCCCACAGCCCAGGTGAGTAGCGTTACTTAACTCATGGCCTGATGAAGAACATTTATTCCAGCAGGGAGTTTCACATCTCTGCTTGCAGAGCGGTCGAGTGCTGCTCCCCATATACAGGACAGCTGGATTCCTAAGCATCTGAAGGCAGATGCTATATCTTCTGTTTGCCTGTAAAATGCCATGCACGCCCGTGGCACCACATAAATAATAATGCATCATCCTCACAGATTTTATGACTAAGAGCACAGTTTGGGAATTAAATAATTTCCCACCGGCTATAGCATTGGTTTCAAAATCTTAATGGAAAAAGGCTGAGGAATTCTTCTAGAATCCCTAAGCCAATAAATCATTGGACTGTTTTCCTCCATTGCTGGCTATTAAAAAATTTACATTTCCCTCTCAAATAAGAGGTTCTAAGAAATTAGCTCCTTTTCTGTGCCTGTGCAGGGGCAGGTTTCTTTCATTTAGCCGCTCTGTAACTTGGTGCATGCCACAGCAGCGTTTTGAGATCATGAGCAGCACGAGCTGGGCTTGCTTTTCCGTATGGGTTGTCATTTCCCCTATTAAGCTGCCTTCTGCCTCCCCGTGTACCAGCTGTTGGGCCGACCCTCTCCCTGCAGACCCTGCTGCTGCTCTAAATTGATTTAGCAGAAGGCAGAGGCTCCTGCCTGCAGCCCTGCCAGGCCCCGCTGGCCCGAGCCTGCCTGGAAGCTGCTTCTCCCAGCGGCAGAGGGACGTTCAAACCTCCAGCTCAAAGACAACTGGCCCCAAACCAGGGCTTGTCTCTGGGACACTGCAAAGTTTTTCATTTTCTCATGAAAGCAGCTGTATGTTAAACACTAAGTCAGTATTTTGGCACTGCCCCTGTTTACATCAAATAGGTTGTTTGCCAGCCATGGTAAAGCGTGTTAAAAGGGCACTAGCAGGAGGCACAGTGGCAGCAGTGTTCTGCCTGCGCTTGTGGGTGATCCGCCTGGTCCTCTTGGTATCGGGGTAGGGTTGTGTTGTCTGTCACTTGTAAAATGAAGATATATATCATTCCTCTGTGAAGCCCTTGTGCTGGGTTTCATAAGCAGCTGTTTAAATACCACAGAATATTTTGTGCATATTCATTTTTTAATTAACTCCCTTTGAATCTGCACACTTTTCTATTCACTTGCTTCAGCTGTCTTTGAAGAGAAGTTTGTTTTGGGGAAACATTTGTAGAAAAAAAAACAAAATTTAAGGAAATGCAATTTTGTAGGAAGGTGACTTGCAGTCTGCAGTAATGCTCTTTTAGCAAAAATCTCAGTCCAAGGTTTCAGGCCCCTTGGGCCACAGCGAGACATCTGAATAAGGTCTGTCTATGTAGTCAAAGCAGGTTACAGAGCAAACTGCTCCCATGCAGGGCATGGACTCTCCTAGATATGCCAGGCAAAATTTCTTACAAATTTATCTAACAAATTAGAGTTTTGAGTAATGTTTTGTTTTAAGTGCATAACAACATAACAAGGCTTATCTTTGTAGTTTTTTTGCAGACTCCTTATCTCATCAGTAGCATGTGTTTCATACGCTTATCTTATGAAGGTATCCCTTCCACGATGCTCAGATGGAGAATGCTCGTTTGTTTATGGAGGTTAATATCACTTTCCATTTATGACTTGATTGTCACACGTGTGTGATAAACTGCTCTAGGCATTTGTCACACTTCCTGCACACACAAATGTGATCGGTGAGTTTAGTCAGAAAAGACTGTCTGTCCTCTGAACAGACAGAGCAGATTTTGGTTTTGGTAGCAATATGAGAGAGACTTATCCACCTGAAAATGTACTGATTTGTTTAATGAAAAAAAAACTTGTAGAATTATTGGAATCCAGTAGCCGCATGTTGAGTGTGTTAGATACCACTGAAGTTGCTCTGTGAACTGCTCTTCAAGTTCATTTCTGATACCTGCCATGCAAGTCAGGATCTAACATACTTAGCAAGCAGTTACAGTGGACACTACAACCAGAAGGTATTGATTTTAATGGCTAAAATGCAGCAATTTTTTGTAACGTTCAGCACATCATTCCGATGAACTCGAGCTGCAGTTCAACTTGACTCACTTTTGCTGAGAGTGCAGAGGAAGACAGAAGTGAGAATATGTGGTAGCTTAAAAATAAACAAAAGCCTCTTCCAATAAATTATGTGTTTATTTATAGAACATATGTGCAGCTGTTCCTCTTCTGAAATGGAAGGGGCTAAAATGCAGGAGTGAATAAACTTGAAAGCATATGGCAAAGGGAGGTTCAGTGAATCAACTTGTCTGAGCGTACCTTGGAACAAAAGAGGAGGAGGATGAGGGGTCTTTGTTTTATTTGCTCTCGAAAGGATTTTTTTTAATAAAAAAACACAAAGGCAGCTGATCTTTATTCTAAACTCCTGTAAAGCACCAAAGTCTTTGCAGCTTAGTCAAGTCCCTGGCAGCTCATCAAATTCTGTTGTTTACGAATTTTCCTTGCTGAGCGCTGGAAACCAGTATCTCACATAACTTACATTGAAGCTTAAGGGCATCAGGAAATGTGCAAAGAAACCCATGGCTTGCAGAGACACGCGGGTCACCCGGAGCCCCCTCAGTGCTCCCTGAGCCCTGCCTTGCCGGGACGAGTGTCCCGAAATGCGGGTGAAGGCAGAGCCGGGGGTGTCACGGGGAGCGCTAGGGGGGCTGCGAGTGCCCCTAGCCCGCTGCTCGCCCGGGATTCCAGCCACGTCCTTCCCACTGCTGCTCTCCAGTTGTATTGCCGGGTTTTGGGACTGGCTTTTTGCTTGTTGGTGACGATCTTGACAGCTCCTGAAACTCCCTTATTTAACTGTATGTCTGTGCTGTGCGCCTGGTGCTTGCTGTAGTCACCGAGTCCCCCCTTCTGCAGCCAGAGCTCTTGAGCTTGTGTCTGCGCTTGCTGGGACAGCGAGCAGGGAGCCGGGGTTCACCCGGGCCACGGCAAGGGGGAGTCTGCAGCGCAGCAAGCTCGGAGGGAAGGGAGGAGAGAGGAGAACAGGTCGGCAGGGCACTGGGAACCCGCAGCCTGGGACCTGTGTTCACTCTCTGCAGGTTTCACATACCCTGGCTAAGACTGTCAAGCTCTCTCTTAGAGGCCTGTTTTAGTTCGTGCCAGCCCAACGCAGCTCTCTGAAACCCTGGAGCAGCTGGCACCTACCAAGAAGGCTGCTCCCGAGCCAGAAACTGTGGGGCCCATGCAGGCAGGGCCACCCTGCAGGGGAAGGGGTGGACGAGCTCTCTTAGCTGGTGCTCTCAGGCTGACGACCAGATTTTCAAACCCAGAAAAGCACCTTCTGTAGTGTCCTTCTATACGGAGCTCAGCTCAGCGCTGCCTCCTGCTCAGGAGATTTTTCTGGGTCCAGAACATCCCCCAGGTGACAATTGCATATCTTGTTATAGAATCCTTGCCATTTCCATGGAGAAATTGGAGTCTTGAGAAG